GTTGGGGACTTACTGTATATACTCTGAATACAGCAGAAATATTCTTTACACTAAATGAAACAATAAATGAGCTATCTTCTCAAAGTTTAAAAGTATATATTGTAACATCTGTATTCAGCAATGTCAAAGTGCAATGAAATCACCTTACCTGTGTTTTTTTAGTTAATAAAAAAAGATGTTTCCAATACAGTTTACTACAGTATTTTAGCTTAGGATATCAATCTTTCTCTTTTTCAGTGTAATTTGGTCTTGAATAGTGTATTTTGAAGTTTTTTTTTTTTAGCAATTAATTTAAAGAAATCCTCCATAATGAATTTACACAAATCCCATAAAAATAAAGTTGGCAAACAATAACAATGTATCATGTACGTGTTAAAGACAAAAAATAACTAATGAACAAATTGATACAATAATAAATTTACTTGATGGTATCAGAGTATGTTTTGAAAATATATAATTTAACTTACAAATGGAAAACGCACTTCATTTTATTATGTTTATATACTGTTAAATTACTTAAGATTTTCCATGAATGTTCCTTAACTTCTGGATATATTCACATAAAAGAACAGACATTTCCTGTGCAGATGTTTAAAGTTATGAAAGATGGACATTACAAAGTTATTTGAATGATTCATTGCTTTAATTACAAATATTTATTGTGCATAATCTGAACTTTGATGGATTCCACTTGCTATGTGGAATTGTTCATTTTCATTTCCAAAAACATTAACAGTATGATCTCTCAAAATTATTGCATCAATATTTGCAGCACTGAGTAGGCAGATTCTTGTAATTCTCGAGTTTTCAGTCTGAATTGTTTGATTTCTCAAGACCCTGTCAAGACACCTTTAATCTTGTTTTGAGATTCTCTTTTCTAGAACTGCTGTGCAGTTTTAAAAAATATAGAAATTCTACCATATCGACATAAATGAAGACACCCAACTAATAAGTAAATTAATTAGCACTTGAAGAAAACTGTGATGCAGTTTGATACTTGTGGTGGACAATAGCAAACTTTTTGTGATTGCAACAGCGGATTATATTTAGGAAAGTAATCAATAACTATTTGATTACTCATTTTTCATTGATGAAGGCCTGTGAATGAGTGAGATGGGCAGGCTGGCACTGAGGTGGAAGTAATATCATGACAGGGTGACGGTATGATGGACTAATGGAAGATTGATGGTGTAGTAGCTGGATGGCATGGTGATACTGTGGTAGAGGAACAGCAGAATGATTGTCCTGGAGAAAAGGTAGGGTGATGGTGTGGTAGAGGAATAGCAGTGGTGGTGTGATGGAGGAATGGTAGGATGATGGCAGAAAGGGAGGGTGATGGTGTGATGGAGAAATGGTAGAATGGTGTGGTGTAGGAATGGCAGTGGTATGGAAGAGAATTGGCAAGGTGATGGTGTGGTGGAGGGCTGACAGTGCAATTGTGTGAAGTGCTGGCATGGTGAGGATGAAACATTGAGAACACAATTTTGGGGGTAATTTCAGAAAACTGATTTCAGAGTAATGATGTTTATCATAAAAATTAACTATTAAACTTTTTTCTCAAGTAATCAATTGAACACACTCTACTGATAATGCCCAGCCTTAAGATTCTAGAAGGGAGCCATAGCAATTCAGGTTGCTTCAGCCTCCACACTCCTGAATGGACAAGGCCTTTACCATACACATCTTGGGAAGAGGATATGGATCTCTCAAGATTTATAATCTCATAAGAAACCACTCACAGTTCTACCTTTTGGCCTTTGAAGGACAACAGTTGATTGGACCATTAATTAGGACCACTCATCAAGACATGCTTATATTCTCTGAAGTGAATATGTCAGCAGGTAATTAACAAGAACCGATTTGTTTTCTGGATCTAACACCTGTATCCAAGTGCCCTGCATAATATCTTCTGCACATTAATAATGATCGAGTTCTTCCAAGGTAATGAATATTTGAAAACATACTGGCTTATATACTTTACCCTGTACTTTACTATTTTCAAATGATGAAGTGCAATATATTTATCATAATACATGTAAGATTACTTAAACTAGAAGGGAAAAAATCAGTTGAAATGCAATAGTAATTGGTCTTATTGTAAAAGTGCCTAGTCTTCAGTTATGGCTACTTTTCAGGACTTTTTAGCAAATCCTTTACTTTTGGGTAACTAACGAATCATTTGATATCACTTCAAGCTAGATTACCTTGTCTTCATATTCAAACTGTCACATGGCTGTAAAAATCTCTTTTATTAGCAACATCTCATTACATACATATTTCCTCTAGCCCCCCAGAGGGAGAAAAGGTAATTAAATTCAAATGTACATGTAAATACATTACATGGATAGATTACATCAAATTATAAACAAAGCTCAACAACCATGAGACTAGAAACAGAACATGAATACAACTTCCAAAGACAAGCTGGAACAAAGTAAATATTACATTGGACATTAAATAGCCTGTTTATAGTTCTGGGGGTTAAAATAATAGTCACTAATTAAATGTTAGAAGTTTATTTTTGGTGTTTACCTACAGTGTGCAGGCCCAATGCCAAAATAAAAAGGATAGAGTGTCACGGGGTAATTTCTTACACAGGCTCGCAACACCTCGTGGAAAGACAGATCATAAGACTTATAACTAAAAAAGGTAATAAAAAGGCTTTCCCACTACTAACTAACGTAAGATCATGAACACGAGATGACCTCGACATCAACGACAAATACAAATGACAGTTTGCTCCCGGACCAGAAAAACTGATGATTTCTTGTACTTTGGAATATTATTTGTGATCACATAACCTACAACAGAGCTGTGTATCCCTTGCCAAGTCCGTATTCGTACTTTTTATTTGGTTTACTGAGAATTTTTTTCACAAAAATCCACAAACATTAAAAAACAACAAAACTCACTTATGGTTGAATACACAGTTCTGAACAATGCTGTACACACAAAATAAATTAGAAACTCTTGCCTCACAATTTCTTCACTAATGAGCAGTAAAAGCTGCCCAAAGTTACATATCTTACAGTAAAAAACTTGTGCTAGCCGCATGTAACACGCACCAGCACTTCAAGTCAATTCAGGAGAAATGACATGCCGAAACGTAAACTAAAACATTCACTTAGTCCATGGCAGTATGTAGCTTAGGAGGTTATGTCTTGAGTGAGCACTTAAGTGTAGAGTTGCGCTTAAGCACGCTCGCCACGGATTCGTCGGGCAAGCTGGATGTCCTTGGGCATGATGGTGACACGCTTGGCGTGGATAGCGCACAAGTTGGTGTCCTCAAACAGACCAACAAGGTAAGCCTCCGAAGCTTCCTGTAAGGCAAAGAGAAATACATTAGGAGACCTGAGCAGTTTGAACATGATCCACTTCACAATCTTCAAAGGTTTTCCAGTCAAGAACCATGACAAACACGCACACGCACGCACGCACGCACACACACACACACACACACAAAATTATATAGGGCAACCACGACACTTCTCAAAAACTAATGTCCAATCCAGCCCTCTCCTCCTCCTCAGTACGAGCAGCCTTCCCCCTCACCTGCAGGGCACCAATAGCGGCGCTCTGGAATCGAAGATCAGTCTTGAAGTCCTGCGCGATCTCACGAACCAGACGCTGGAAGGGCAGCTTGCGGATCAGCAGCTCAGTGGACTTCTGGTAACGACGGATCTCACGAAGAGCGACAGTACCAGGCCTGTAACGATGGGGCTTCTTCACGCCTCCGGTGGAGGGGGCGGACTTACGGGCAGCCTTGGTGGCCAGCTGCTTACGCGGAGCCTTGCCTCCGGTGGACTTACGGGCGGTCTGCTTGGTACGGGCCATGGCTGATTACCTGTGGGGCAACAAGAGGATTAACAACGGAGAACATGTGCTAACAAGAAATAATAGGTCTCCTAACCACACATAACACATCCTGAAGATGGTTCAGCTCCCTTGAAATAGTAGTAATTAGATGCAGATGCACTCGCCACTGGTCTTAACTACCACCATGCTAAGTTTCAGTTGAGCTTATTTGTTGTCCTTGACAAGATATTAACTTCCATTAGAATTCCATTCCCGCCATTCCTTTATTGATTTCCGTCGTAGTTATGAACAATTGCGAAATCACGCACCACAGGATAAAATGCTATGGCTGCATCAACGTAACTACAATTGCCACCAATGAGGCGGCGCACTCGGGCCCCCACCACCAAAGTCAAAGTTCTTTTTTTTAATAAATTCAAAAACTCTTTCTCGGAAATAATTAACAACCTTGACTGGCGTTCGATAGGCCTACCTTAACGGACTACGATTAGCGCGCGGGAATGACTAGTGAATAAGGGAAGCGCTGGAAGGAAGCGTGTGGCTACTCGGGCGTGCGGGTACGGACTGGGCAGCAGGCACGACCCCGGCACGACCAGTGGGCGGGAAATATTCGAATCGGCGGTGGCGGTTGGGGACGACGCGGCCGCCATCTTGCCTCCGCGGTAAACAAAGATGGCCGACGCCGACGCTGCACTGAACTTTCACCCACGTTTTAGCACGACTTCCTTGGTTTTGCGACAGATTTCTAAGCTTCGCGAGCTATCGTAGATTTGTTTTCACATTTAACACTAAAATCAATTCACGACTTAAGATTATATATGCTATCACTTCGTACCTGGAGTTAAGAGCGTAATGTATCCACCTCTACGTCTTCACAAGAAATGTCGACTAAAAGTTAAAACGGCACAAGTCCCAGTATTTATATGACCAGTGACGTCACCACACCACGCTTCGGCCCGATTGGCCAGCGGGACCGCCAAGACTCCATCCGATTGGTTATAATAACGGCCTCAGCGATTGGCCAGAATCTCAACGTTTCTGAAAGCTGATTGGTCACAAACACAGCGCGCTCATTGGTGGACGGTCTCAGTTCTTGATCCGCATCTGCAGAGGTAACACCTCAAGCTTACAGCGCGATGACAAAATCATTCATACAATTTTTAATTTAATGTAATATCTCTCAAAATGATAATCACACGAACATGAATTCAAGTCGACCCTATGGCCGCTATCTCTCCCCACCTTGTCACGTAATTTGCAGCTTAGGAAGCCCAAAAGGGACTCCTTAAAGACTCTTACAATATTTGAGGCAAAACTCGCCATGAAACTCTACATTTACATAGAACGCACACAAAGCGCGTTTTAGGGTTGAATCACGAATGCTTTTGGGCGTTCCTCAGGAAGGTCAAGCGAGGCAGGGAACCCAGATCTTTCGCCATGGCCGTGACCGAATGACTTAAAAACGGGGGATTCTAAAGGAAATGATGGAAACGATTTAATCGACGTTAAATAAAGCGCGAGATAAAAAGAGAGTTTGTTCTTCCTCTCGGGAAGGTTTTTGGCCGCCATGCGTGTGTGGGAGAGAGAGTGTATGCGTGTATGTGCATGTGGATACGTGGAATCACGGGAATGCCCGTGTACGTTCATGTGCATGCATGTGTACATATACATACGTGAGCATTATTTATAGTTTTATACCTATTTCGACGTATTTACCACATGTGACACCTCAAAATAGTTGTCAATATTCCATGCACTTTTGTGCAGATATATATATAATATGTACATGTGTCTACAGATGAGAGCAACACATACACCAATATAACACAAGGACAAATATGTACGTGTACGTATGCATGTCCGTTTCTCAAGACAATACACGCTCACGAGAGCCTTGCAGGATATGTGTTTATGTGTTCACATGAATGCATTTGTATATATGACAGCATAATTATCTATCTGCATACGTCATTTGCATTCTGTAGAGATAAAGCACGTCTGCATTTGACATTTGTTTTTGTGCTCACCAACTCACCTGTGTAGGTGGACAACAGGATGTATGTACGAATCTGGATGAAGACATAACTACAGGCACTTTTAATTTCATCGGGACTGTACTTAATTATATTTTAATAACGATTATACTACTAACTTTGTCGCTTTACACATGGAGATTGTTTATATATATGCTTAGAATTAAAAGTTACTATATTTCTGTAATCGTGTAAATATTGCAGAATAGCAAGCGATTTATACATTGTACAGAACATGAGAATTTGTGGAGGAAAAATATGTTACTATACAATATGGTTGGCATATACATGTAAACATGCATTGGTGTACAGGCGCCACAAGAATGCAGTATTTCCGGTAGTGCAAACCCGTGCCGTATGCCTGCCATCGTATGTGGATACACTTGAATGTTGCGTCATGTGCATCTGTGCAACACATTCAACTGTTGCACATGATTATGCCATTGTTTGAACCTTTGCATGTTGCTTGTATCAGCTGTGAAGGAGTTTGTGTACACCATGATTGAGAATCCGCGCTTGCACGCACGGACACGCGCACGCACACAGGGGAAGCCATAAGCCCCAATACGGAACCCGCGTGCATGGCTCTCCCAGGGGCACTCGCGTGGCACAGGGCTTCGCAATGCATGCAATCTTGATCAGTACAGGAGCTGTACAGATATCTGTCTAAACGACTGTAACCGCTGAAGTTACGTTTTGCTATCAAAGCTTATCTCAGGCACATATCTCTTCAGTGGATATTTGTACATATCTACTTTGTATATTTGTCACCTCCGGCTATATGTCTGTGTGAGTATACCCACGCCTATATTCACATATTATTGGTAGTATATGTGCTATTCTATAAAGTCCTCGCCCCAACCTCTCTCTTTCTCTTTATACGCACACATATGTATGTATGCGTATATACATATATACATATATTTATTATATATTATATACATATACACATACATGTGCGCGCGCGCACGCACACACACACACACACACACACACACACACACACACACACACACACACACACACACACACACACACACACACACACACACACACATACACACACATGCACATGCATCTTTCTCTCTCCCTCTCTCTCTCTTTCTAATTTTGAGCCTTTATGTATAATCTACTGTTTATATTTATCTTGTTCTCCATTTCTAGCTTCATTTGCTGCTTTCTGTTTGGTTGCATATAATTTCATGCCTTTTTGTAGCGCTCTGGCAATCTTTTTTCTATATACAAATATTTCTCTCGTTTTTGCTTTCTCCTTTCTCTTGTTGTCATTACTCTATGTCTCCTCATCCGCTTTCTTCTCTCCCTTTTTCTTTCTTTCTCACACATTTTTCCGTTCCTTCTCACACTCCCTCTAACTGTTTCATTCCACCCTCCTTCCGTCCTTCTATCTTTCCTCCCTCTCCTTTCACCCCTCGACGTTTTTCTCATCTCTCCCCCTGCTTTCTTCTCTCTCCTTCCCACGTCCCTCCTTTATCGCCGTGTTCTCAGTACTTCACTCTCCTCCTATTATCTCACTCCCTTCCTTTGCATTTCCTGATCTCAGTTATGTTCATCTTTGCATGTGTTGTAAATTGATGTTTTCTTGCTGGTGTTTTTATTTATTTTGTGATTATAGCCTTTTCTTCCTTCCTCTTCTTATTTGCTCACTGACAAACACTTGTGCTTCATTTTCCTATTTTTATTTTATTATTATGATTATTATCATTGTTATTTACTCTTCTCTTTTCTTCTGAGCATTTTCTTCCCTTCGTCTTTTCTTAGCTTCGTATCCCATTATCTTTCTACAACCTTCCATCTACTTTAATTTCTATTTTATTTTGTTCTCATTTGCCAACGTTTGTTTGTCTGTTTGTTTGTTTTTTCTCCCATATATGACCAGAAACCCTTGACTCCCTGTGATAAAACAGACTTTCTCCACATTATGTAATTCAGCCGTTATGTATCACCTTATCTGTACTATTTTCGTTTTTGTTTGTTTGTCTGTTGAGTGGAAGTAAGCTCTGCTCTCCTGCAATACTTAATGTTTTTGTTTATGTGCCCATGCGATGTTTTTTTTTTTTCCCTTTATTTCATCATCTCGGTGCAAGTGTTTGATCAAACGATGAAACATTTCATGATTTGTTTGTTTTCGTTCGTATTTTTGTCTTTTCTTAATAAATGTGTTTTCTGTGTGTTTACGTTATATGTATTGTTATACGTGTAAGTATTCTACACATTCGAATTTCTGAAGGATATTAAAATATGTATACTCCCAGGCTACAGATGTGCACACAAGCTTCACATCGCGCAACAAGCCCGTGCATACAGGTGTGGTAGTTAACGTTACCTTTTTCAAATACAACAAAAAGAGAGAGAGAGAGAGATGAAAAAAAAGAGAGACAAAAAAAAAGGCGCGGGAAAATGGGCGCCAAACCATTGTGAGTCAGACGCGCCTAGACCCCGTTAGAGCGAAGTCTTCCTTTACCGCCACGAAACTTGGCGCTTCTTTGAAAAAAATAAATGTAATGCTGGTCACTGTGGTACTCCTCAGCGTAATAGGCCCGCTTCCTTTGGTTTGTGTTGCATGGGGATCTTGACTGATAGTTTGTTTGGGGTATATGTGTTGTTAGGGAGAGTGGGCGATGGGTGGGGGAGTGAGAGAGGCCCCTTGGGGCGGAGGGGGAGGGCTGGTGGGGGAGGGGAGGGGGACGGACAGGTGGAGATGCAGATTTGCCTGAAAGAACGTCGACCCTCCTTGGCCACCCTCCTTCCCTCATGCCCCCATGCCCCGCTTCCTCTTCATCCCCTCCTCCCCCCCTCCCCCCCTCTCTCTCTCTCTCTCTCTCTCTCTCTCTCTCTCTCTCTCTCTCTCTCTCTCTCTCTCTCTCTCTCTCTCTCTCTCTCTCTCTCTCTCTGTTTCCTCTCCCCCTGCATTCATTCCTTCTTCCCTCCCTCCCCCTCTATCCCTATTTCTCTCTCTGTTTGTCTGTCCTTCCCGTCTGACATCATGTGTTGCCAACTGAGCGGGTTCAAATTTTAGAAAAAAAGACGCTAAAGACGCCTAAACATATCCGGTTCAAACCAATGTCCATGCGTCTTGTCTTGCGTCATAGAAAGAGGCGTAATGAATGCCTGACCGATATTAAAAACGTTGCCAGAGTGACTAGATCTAGATTTTCCTGGTTTCCGAGTGATTGTCATGTGAATGAGTAGAGGAAACGCGTGTTTGGATGTGCATGGGTAGTTAGTGAATGAGGGAGTGTAGGAGTAAATGAATGTAGAGTGAGTAAGCAGAGGGATCTGCATGAGTAAAGGTGTCAGTGAATTAATCTGACTGTACCGTACTGTGACATGGTGAAAACCTGTTTTCTTCTGCCTTAAACTGCATTGATTTAATTGTATTTACTAACCCATTTCTTGCGTGTATTATGTAATTTGCATTCCGGGCGTGAATGTATACTGTTGAGAAAAAGGGAGATTATTTGTAATCATCTGGGTTTACATAAATCTTCAGGCGTATTTATAAGTTATTACAAATGATTTTGTACCGTGTGCGATAACGTATAGGAAATCCAGTAGAATATGTGTTTGTTGTAGTTACTATAATTCTCTTCTTGTGACACATTCAGTGATACACAATTTCTAAAAATAAATTTTGTCAAGGCTCAACTAAAATTTATAGTTGACGGGGAGATAATACGGTTTCTTTGTATTGCGAAAGTGCGCTGTTGATGTGCCAGTTAACTTCTGACGAGACTGTGACGACAGTTTATAATAACAATATATTCACGGCAAGTTAAATCATGTCTGCGTCATTATTAGAGCAAGGAAACCCCGCTGAAATTTTCCTGTTATTTAAGTGAAGATTAGATGAATAAAATAATATGCTCGCATA